TTCTCTTCCAGACCAAGTGAGCGGCTGTTCTTCCCATCTCTTGATCCCAAGAATGCTCCCTATCCCAACCTAAAGACATACCATCATGTCTCAAAGTGGCAGCTCTCCTAATCTTTAGATGGCCAGGCTTGATCTTCCAAACTTTCCTTCTACCAGATTCAGCCCTCCCATGGCTACCTCTCAGCCCTACCAGACTCAGTCCACAGAGAGGACACTCATTCCTTCTTCAGCCACCACTATCAGCCACCCAATACTTTTTTTCCTACTCCTTGGTAGTTAATTTTATTGTGCTGTCCTACTTCTCTATCTATCAGAGCCACTCATATACTTACATTAAAAAGATAAAATACTAATAAGCATATAAGTAACTAATATGGAAATCACACCAAAAGCCATAAATAATAATGACAGTGACCACTTAAAGCATATTTCCTGTATACCCTGCACTTTACATATGATTTCTTATTATCTACTTGGCACATTTTCAAGGTTAGTACATTTTACAGATGGAAAAACTGAGCCTCAGAGACTTAAATAACATTAAAACATCAAAAAAAAGTAGTGATGCCTGGTCTCATCTGCAGTTCTGTACTTCTCCAAAGCCCAGGCTCTTCACCAATGTCCTGACTCCTTAATCTTCTCTACAACCAGGCAGGCTTTAGCCAAAGGAGTTGATTTACTTCTTCATTTTTTCCCAGAATATTTGCTAAATTGACACATTGCTATTGTTACAACTTCAGCCAAGTACAAACTTGGAGGACAGTCTCCACAAGATTGCCCTCCCTTCAGATTAGCTGCAAGCCTGGGGTATGCCTGACCATCCTCCTATCACGTACTGACCACAAATCTGGGGGTGGGGGGCACAAATTCTCAGATTTCCTAATTCACTGGAATGACTCACAGAGCTCAGAAAGTACCATACTTAAGATTAGCTTTATCACAGCAAAAGGATACAAATTTAAATCAGCCAAGGGAGGAGATGCAAAAGACAAAGTCCAGGGAGGTCTAAATGCAAAGTTTTTGGCTTTACTCACCTTCTCCTGGCCACAGTATGTGACAATAAACACAGAGGACTGCTGATCAAGGAAGCTCACCTGAGCCTTCAGAGTCCAGAGTTTTACTTGGGCTCAATCACATGTTGCCATATGCCTTTTAGTCTCTGGCCTTCCATGGAGATTCAGGCCTATCCATTTGGTTTTCAGTTCTTCTAGTGGTTAGAACTGATATGCTGTGTCCTAAGGTGCCTATCATAAATCACATTGTTAGACATTTAGTCTAGTGCCCAGCACTTCCGGAAAAACAAAGATTCCTGCCAGGTAGCACATTCCATAGGCCTAGAGATTGCTTCCCAGGAGACAAGGGCAAAGGCCAAACCCCTTTTTAAGCAAGGCCAGTTCTTCACTAGACTGCTATACAAAGGTAGAAAAAAATGATAGATAGAGATAATATAGATAGAAAAAGGTAGATAGACATTCTATAATTTTGATTTTAAAGTTAGAATAAATTTTAAAACAGCACATGGCCTCATCCCTGGGTTCAGGTAGATAACACACTGCATGTATTTTACTAACAGGGTCTACTGACGGGTTGCCCAAAATCTCATGGAGCCTGAGATCTTGATTTCTACTAAAATCACCCAGCCCCTCTACCATGATGCTATATATACTGCCCCCAATCCCACTGCTAAAGCCACAGGCCCTAATCCCACAGGTCCTATCACTGGGCCGGGCTAGGTGGTATACAATAAACATGCTCAATATGCATGCCCTCCCTTCCCTTGCCCCTTTGAAGATGTCCAGAAGGTACCTGTAATGATCCTCTCCCACTCAGCTTCCCAGCTGCTGAGGTCTGCAGGCTCCTGCTGAGAATGCTGGGGATCCAAGTCCATTTCAGGTGATCTGAGAGAGCTACCTGCTCCAGGACTCCAGGTGTGGTCACAGAGGATATTCTTTGCTAACACCCAGACAATCCTTGCCAGTAGCACCAGTCCAGTGGCATGACAACACCACGGATAAAAAGAAGGCTCAAGTTTTGCTCCTGCCCCAAGTAGCCTCTTTCAGGTCTCTGGGTCTCCTTTTTAGTCTTTGTGAAATGAAAAGCTCACCTTAGAATCATGCTACTCCAAGTGTATTTCAGTGAACAGAGCAGGGCATTAGCGAGGAAGTTTTCAGAAGTGCAGACTTTCCAGGGCCATCCCAGGACCCCTTTATTCAAACCTGCATTGGAAAAGGATCTCCAGGTCATTTGTGAGAATACCAAGGTTTGCAATACATCGGCTCAGCCCATCATCTCTAGATCCTTCTAAAGACCTACATTCTGTGATTCCCAAAAGACTCAATTTCCAAACCTCAGGGTTGAGATGTGTCTTTGGAACTGGGGGAATCCAAGCTTCTAATCAGGAGTGGTCAGAAAATGGAGCCATGGAAGGCATCTGTGAAACCCAAAGCCCTTGGACAGGCAAGGCTGGGAAGAAGGAGCAGTTAGAGGAAGAGGGCAGTTCAGTTTTTCCATAGGCATGCTGTGTGTGCCAGCTGAGGTCTTTAATGTAAACCCTCCTGTGCTCCGACCTAAACACTGAGTGTAATTATGGGCTCCAGCCCTTCAGATGCAGGGCTCAGGGTCGGCCCTCCACAGGGTCCTGCAGGAGGTCTTGTTTCTGAGTCAGGGGGGCCTCTGGTTAACCAGAGCAGACCCAACTCTAAGGGGCAAAGTTGACATACCAGCATAATTACATGTAGGTTGACCATATTTACTGCAACGCTGTTGTTCTAGAATTTCAAACAAAGGCTGAACCCTAAGAAAACACACCACTAAAGAGAAGCAGATTGTCCTGAGTGATTTATTGAAGAACAAAAGCTAAGGGAAGAAAGAGAAGAGAATTATCAGAGACTCACATACACTTCCCTTTCCCCCAGTCTGGGCTAAGAACAACCAGTGACCACCGCTTTCCCACCCTCCCAACGGAAGGGCCTCAAAACATGACATTGTGCTTTTTCTGAGGCATGTTTTTATGTGGCCACATCAGGTCCTGTGAACCTGCGTAGACCCATTAGAAGAAAGCAGGCTGCAGCATTTGGAGGGGACAATCCCTGCTCTTCCCTTCTGCCTTACCTCACTCTCTGTACACTCTCCTGCATGACATTCACATACAGATACATTTCAAATGAGTAGAAAATTAACCAGGTTGGAAGGTGGCTTTTGATCAGGCTAGGATTGATAATTATCCCTTTACATTGGGAGATGACCGGTAGGAACAAAGTTTTGAGTACTTCCAGAACTTTTTGAACCTCCAATTTGTCCCATGTAAATATGTAACTGTGACAGGAAACAGCAGTACATCCAATGCATAGCTGAGAGTTTGCATTGACCCAGCAATGACAGAACAGGGACAGTTGAAAATTGGCATAGTTACGAGAGAAGACCTAATCCAAGAATTGAAAGTTGTACATGAGATTTTGGTGCTCTTAACAGATCAGGGCTACAAGGATCTCAAAGTGCTTATTACCATTGCCACTCCACATCCCAATTCCAAATGTTCACGTGCGCGCGCACACACACACACACACACACGCACGCACACACAAACACATATGCACATGCACAATTATAATTCCCAGCCAAAGAAAATTTATCAATGTCTACCACATGCCTGGCAAAGAGAAATAGTAGACAGGCTTCCTGTTTTCAAAGTTTATGTCACCTTTAGAGAGACAAGATCAACCATGAAAATAAGTGGGAACAATACAAAAGGGTATCTGGCAAAGCTCTGGACTCATTCTTGGGTAGAATGGAGTAAGTGACAGGCATTTGAGTGATTGAGGTAGGGGGTAAGAGAGAGTCACTGACCACAGAGGTGATGGTGGTTACTGGATATTTGCTTGTTTTCTTTCTAAAGTTGCTTCACAAAATATTTACTTAGAGTCCCTAAACCTTCATCTTTCCTGGCAAAAAGGAGAGGCTTTCTTTGCCATAGCTCCAGGGTAGGATCTTAACATTTCTAATTGGAAGTCTTGCTATTGTGGTCATTTTCTGTCTCATTGCTGGGGACATAGAAGGAGTGACATATTTCAGGCCAGATGGTGTCACACAAATGAAGAAATGGCAAGTGATTGGGTTAATTACCCCATTTAAGCAACTAAAATTGTGAAGAAGTCTTTTGAAAAACTACAGATGCTGTTACTCTTCGAAAGTCAGAAAAAGAACAAACACTGAAGCAGGATAGGACTCAGCTCCTACAAGATGTTCAGAGCTGTAATGACTTATTAAATGGAAAATTTCAAGCATGGCCAGTTAGGAACTCTGTGGACTTCAAGCCCGTCTTCAAGCTAGCACAGTCCCTAGGGACATCCCTCAGAATCTACAGACCCACACAAAGGACAGAGTCTGAGTTCAGAAACAATGAGATAGAACATAGACACCTACTGCAGTGACAGCTGGTGGGATGAGGCATCCAAGGAAGAACAAGCAAGGAAGGGACAAGGAGTGGAATTGTTCAAAAGTTCACCGAAGATTTATATCAAATCTTGACTTGGGCAAGGCATATTTTAACCCAAAGAAAGGAAATGTTTTAGACAGCTTTCCATCACTGTGACAAAATACCTGCTGATCAACTTAAAAGGAGAACAGATTTATTTTGGCTCAGGGTTTCAGAGGTTTCAGTTCATGGTCACTTGGCCCTGTTGCTTTGGGCCTGTGGTAGCACAGTACAGCGTGGCAGGAGCATGTGATAGGGAAGGCCTGCTGACCTCGTGGCAGCTGGGAAGCAAAGGGAAAGAAAGGACAGGGACTGGAGTCTCAATATCCCCTTCAAGGGTACATCTTAATAACCTAAGTTCCTTCCACTAGACCCCATACCCTAAAGGTTCCATCACCTCCCAATAGCGTCACAAGCTGGGGACCAAACCTTTAACACATGGGACTTTGGGGAACATTCAAGATGCAAACTATTACGGGAGGCATAGAAGAAAAGCAATAGAAAATGCTCTAGATAAGAACCTCGGTCTCCTTTTTTTTGTTGCACCTCCTCTTTCACTCTGATTCTGTGGTGTCAGCAGTCCATCATAATCACCCATCCTCCTGCCTAAGAAATGGGCTTACAGCCTGAGCTGATCAGTTTCCTTGCCCCTTGGATCTGAAGCCAAATGGATCAGCTTGAGACTGAGCAGGGAAATCAGTATCCTTCCCCATGAGGAAGAAAGCCATTTTCTGCTGGTCACATGTACCAGTAAATGCCTTAAGCTTCTCCCATGGGGAGTTCTGTCACAACCAGAGGATTGTGACTAATAGAGGGAGCGCGTGCACTGTCATCAGTTGCCTGCTGGTTTGTATCAGTTCCCAACACTATGGCTAGGTTCTAGAGTATACCCAGGAAAAGGAGCCATGGAAATGAAAGGAAAGAGAGATCCTTGCTGTTGGTGATAGTGACATTGTCCAAGGTATTATATGAAAATAATCATGGGATATTCAAATGCTGATGTTCTGGCCCAGGGGCAGCCCATGAGCAGAGCTGATGAGAACAGATTCTTTCCATGAGGCCTGCTGATTGAGAGCTATCCATACCTCTGCCAGCCACCTGCTTCCCAGCGGAACTGGATGGAGAAGCCACACCCACAACCCTTTAGCACCTCCAGTAAACACTAAAATGGGAGCCCAGTGTATCAGTCAAGAGCATAAGAAAGCTTCATTTTAATCCCACTCATTACCAACTAAGGGAACTTAGTTAAGTTATAAAACTTTTTACCTACCTGTACAATGGGGATAATAACAGACTCTGGTTCATTAGATTGTTGTGGTATTAGATGGAATAATGCATACAAAATACTTAGCACTACAGTAAGCATAGTTGGAATTGTCGTCATCATTACTGTGGCCATTATTATTAGAGAAAATCCTGAAAACCGTGCTCTGTGAAATAAGGCAAGGTGTGACCTTGTAAAATCAAAAAAGTGCATCCTCCCTGGGAAATAGCTAGCAGCTCCTAATGGCAAATTCCAGGCTTGGGTCTATTTTTTGCCTTTATATACGTTCTCATTTATTTTTTGATTTATGAAAACGCATCCATCATTTTCTAAGGAAAGCCTCCAGACACATGAACAAAAATGATAGAAATGCACAACAAAAACAAATAAAACCATGCAGCATGGCTAACAAGTCAGGCATTTGGCCCCAGTGGGGTAGATAAATCCAGAGCTAGGCTCGGCACTGGGGCCCAAAGGTCAACAAACTGGGACTTTGCTGAAGGAATGAAAGAAAGAGGATTCTGAAGCTTCAATTGACAGCAGACCTCAAATCTGCAGAAAGCCTCAGAGAAGATCTTCTGGGGCAGTCCCCAAAAGGATCTCTAAGAGGCCAGTCCAAAAACCTGAGAGATGGCTGCTCTATCTCTCTCTCTGCTCATTCACCAGGGGATATTTTCAGAGAATCAGCAAACTTTAAAGCTATGCCAATCACCCCCTTTTACCTCCAATTCCTATTTCAGAGGAGGAGGAGGAGAGATCGACTTGGGAAAGACGCTCAGGTAAGAGAATTGGAGCTCTCGTGGGAAGGTGTCATTGTCACCCTTCTGTCTTTGTCTCATTTCTCCAGAGGCATTACTATAAAGGGACCCCTCTTTAAAGAAAGATGTGTTTTGAGACCACTGTTTTTAGTTCCCATTATAGATAATTAATTTCTTCTCTAGATTGTGAGAAGAAAAGTGAAGAGGGAGCTCAGTAGAACCAGGGAGGACCCCTTATGGTCTGAGAGGAACAGCCAGCCTCATGAGCAGAGCACAACTGCCTTCATGGAACCCAGACAGCGTCCCCAAGAGTGTCGCATGGGAAAGGCTCCACAGATGCCTTCCTGCCCTCAGTCTGAAGAGGTCCTCAGTTGTGGGTTGTCTTGTCCCTTACTTGCCAAACTGTCTTGTCTCTTGCTGGTTCATTCACAGGCTGCAAAGAAGCCGGAAAGATTCCCCAGAAAACACCTAGCACAGCCCAAATCTTCACTTGGGACATCTGAGACATGGGGAGCCACCACTATCAAGTTATGGTAGATGCAGCAGAACAGAAGAGTAACACAGTCCCTCCAACTACCCAGCACAAGCATGAACAACAATGGCCTCCCTCTGTGAGGGAGAACCCCCACTGATATCTAGTATTCATGACAACATTGTTCTTGGAAACACAGTGGACAACACTCACTGAGCATGATTTTTTCCATGGCATCTTTAGCCCTGACACATGTGATCCCACAGGATCACAAGGTCCCTTTGCAGTCAGTGATATAATTATCCCCATTATACAGATGGGGGAAACTGAGGCCAGAGAGGTAACACAGCTGATAAGTAGCAGAGCTGGGATTTGAACTCAGGCTGTTTGATTATGGATCTTGGGGTTCTAGCCACTGGATTATGCACCCTCCTCTGAAATCTCACATGGCCATGAATGGCATTTCAGCCCTCTGTGAAGCCCAGCCGTGGCTGCTGAGGTCTCATTCTTCCTTACCCCCGGAGTATGCTCTCAATAATCCTCATCGCCTTAAGTGCTGGGATTTTGCCATAGTTCCCTTAATATAGAAGCATCAAACCAACAAAAGTTTCAAGGAGATGGCTTGTGAGAAGCAAATAGAGTGATAGACCCTCCAGAAGAGGTTTAACAGCCCTGTTTCTGCCCTTCTGAATCCTTAGAAGAAATCCAAGCTGAGAGCCAGAGAGCCAGAGTGGGTGCCTTCGCAGCAACCTTGATTTGCTAATCTCCTTCTGGTCATCAAAAGGGCCTCTCTGAAGCCAGCAAAGTCCTTGGTCCAAGACAGGGGTCAGCAAACTACAGCTCATCAGCCAAATATGATCTGCTGCCTGTTTGGGGAGTAAAGTTTCATTGGAATACAGCCACAATTACTCATTTATGAATTTGTCTGTGTTGGCTTTCACGCTACGAGAGCAGAGTTGAATAGTTGTGACAGAGACCATATGGCGCGCAAAGCCTAAAGATTTACTCTCCAGCCCTTTACAGAAAAAGTTTGCCAATCTCTGGTCTGGAATGACTGGCAGGCAAGGGGGCACTCCATTGTGATTAGGGACTCCACTCCACAGAGTACATTTGCTCCCCAAGAAACCCGAGCCAGTGACTCAAGCTGTAGAAATCACCTGCCACAAATATCCACATCCATCAAGTAAATCAATAGATACATCATGAGCATCACCATACGCCAGTCCCTGAGGCCACCCTGGGGCTGCCCAGGGCTGGAGAGTGTAGGAGTCTGAGAAGGGCTAAACACTGTGGCAGGGAAAGGAATGGGCTAGGGGGACTCCTCCTCCCTTCTCTCCCTTTCAGAGCTTCAGCTTTATCTTCTTACACACTTTAGATTCTACTTCAGACTCCATTTGAATATAGTTATGTGGCAATTTAAAAAATCATGATTTTTTATTTCCTCAGCTCCTCCTATGTGTCCAGCATCAGGTGGATAGAGGGAGAGGAGCGAGAAGCCACAAGCAAGTACTTCACCTCTCCATCCCTCCCCTAATGATTGCCCTTCGACTGGCCTGTCAGTTCTCCAAACCAGTGCCAGTCTCCCCCTCCCTTCCCCCTGCCTCCACCACGCACCCTCTTCAGGGCCGCCTGCTCCATCTTCATTTCAGTTGCCTCACCAGGAAAAGAAAGTAACTCCCTCCTCAGAGAAGAATAACTGCCATAAATTTGTGAGCCACATTCAAGGAAACCACGCCCTGCTCCGATAAATCCTCTACAACTGCTGCTTGATAGTGATTATCCAGCACTGTAGAAATACTCTAGGTTTCTGATGTTTTCAGAAAAAAGCAGGCAGGTACAAGCAACCAGAACATTCTCCCAAGGCCCTGCATCCCCAGCCTTCACTCTTCCCACACACAAAGCAGAGGCTCTGCTATTGCTCTCCAAGATTCAGTTTCCTTGTAGGTAAACTGGGGAAAATTTAGTATTAACAACCACCAGAACTATGTCAAAGAAGAATCATCCCAAATATTCCCACATCTTAACAAAGATAAACAGAACTGATGGGAAAAATTCTAGAAGGGTCTTTTAGTAATGATAATAAAAACAACAATGACACAATAGGTGACTTGTAGGGAGCTGCCTTCATGTTCTAAGAAGAGTGCTGAGCATTTTACATGCATTACCTCATCCTCACAACAATGTGGTAGGAACTAATTATTGTCTCCATTGGAGCAGGATTCAGAAGCTTGAAGAGAAAGTAGCACTTGTTTGTCCAAGGTTACTCACCTGGGGGGCCGGGGATTTAGCTCAGTGGTTCTGGCGCCTGCCTGGCAAGCACAAGGTCCCGAGTTCGATCTCCGGTACCAAAAAAAAAACAAAAAACAAACAAGTTTACTCACCAGGGCAGCCACAGTGTGACTATGCCCTCAAGGGACATTAAAGAACTCACCTTGGTCCTGAATCATGGGCAATAGTGACTGCCTTTCTTCTTATGGAGTTTCTGAATGTATATGTGGGAACAACTCAACTCGGGAAAACAGGAAGATGCAGTGGCTGTTATTCTTCTACATAAGCAATCTGGTCAAAGGTGATGTGGCCAAAGATGGCCTCTCCATTTCTTCTTCTCCCCTTAGAAGATACTAATACCATGATGAGAGATTTCATTAAATGGGGTCATGAAACTGTTGTCACCTGAAGGCAAATGTTGGCCCCCAAACAACTCTACTTTGAGTCTTCACTCCCAGCTGGCCGGGGGAGCCCTGGTGGGCAGCACAGGGTGAGGGACACTCTGGGGAGAGAGCCTGAGTTTCATCTTCTCCCAGCATGCACTTCACTCTCTCATCTGTGAACTGGGAACCATAGCAGTACCTATTATGGGGGGATCTTGCAGGGGTGGGAGATTTCTCTTTTACTTTTTTCTAAATGATGAGTTTTAGACTTTCAAAATATTAGTCCACTAGCATCTTCAAAGCTAAAATATCATTGATGTCCCTAGTGGGCCCCTCCCACCTCTGTCCCATCCGCCACTCCCCCCCGCCCGCCCCGCTGGGAAATTCCTGCTAATTTGATATAGATCAGGGCCTGGCGAGCCTTCTCTGTAAAGGGCAGATAGCAAACATGGTCCACTCTGGGAGCCACATGGTCTGTGGCAAGGGTGGTGAGATGTGAAAGAGTGAGCGTGGCATTGTTTCAACAAATTTATTTATGGACACTGAAATTTGAATTTCACATAATTTTTAGATGTTGTGAAAGACTGTTCTTCTTCTGATTTTTTTTCCCCAACTATTTAAAACTATAAAAACTATTCTTAGCTCACCCGCCATACAAAAGCAGGTGGCGGGCTGGCCTTGGAGGGAGGGGGTGGTTTGCCAGTCCCTGGAATATACCTTTCCCATGCATATTTTAATACTGCAGCTCCATATGTGTTTATCCATGTAGAGTATTTGATGTGTCTTAAAATTTCATATAAATGGTTTTTACCGTACTTTTGCTTCTTTAGCTGATCGCTCTCCTTTTTTAACTTTCTTCTTCCTGAGATTTACCTGATTTGTTATATATTACTTCAGTGTATGCATTTTAGCTGCCATGTAGAATTTCGCCATTTGACTTTACCACATCTTATTTATAAGATTATTAAGAACATTTCAGCATGTGAATTTAAAACAACTTACCCTTTCTCTTCTTGATGGGTGTTCAGGCTGCTCTAGTTTCACTCTTACAAACAATGCTACAGAAGCATCCTTAGACTGTCTCCTTGTGCACGTGTATCAGAGTTCTCTAGATTGCTCATACAAGTAAAATTTTATGCCCATGGGGTGTTTGCTGATCACATGAAGCCAGAAAGGAAAGAGTCCATACCACATCTGGGCCCTGGTAAGTGTCCAGTCACCGGTACTTCTCTCTGGGAGCTGAGCACATACCAGGCAGAGAGCAGAGCATAAGTAAGTGTTTAATAAACACCTATTAACTTCATTTGAAAAGGCTAACAATGGGCAAAACGCATGGGACAAACAACAAGCCTTTGGGACAGTGAATAGGTAAGTGAGGTCAGAGCCCTCAGGAAAGGCTAGAAATTGAGAGAGGTGCACAGGGACAAATGTTTCTGATGAAGGAAGTGACTTAAGTGGGCTCTGAGACAAGGAGGAGCATGATGTGTTGCTCAGGGATGTCCAAGAGACTAGACTGGATGGCACATTTACAACGTTCTTTTGGCAGGCCAGTATGTCAGGCAGAGACTATGGAGCTAGATTTGTCAGTCCATGGGAGTCCAGGCAAGACCAGACTCAGGAAGGGGGAGGGCTGCCTCCTGGGGATATGAACTCAGCCAGTCCTGTGTAGCCAAACTTGGGAGCCAAAGGTGCCATGCCAGAGCTGGAGCCAGAACATGTCAGGGGCCAGATCCAGCAGTGACAGTTGCTCAAACCAGAGAGAATCTTCACAGGTTCTGGAGGTGGCCAATGCTGCCACCACTCCGAGTTAGATTGGACCTTTGGAAAGCCTGTGGGAGCCAGGCTAAGAGCTGGTCTCTGAGTCACACATTCCACTCCTTAGTCCTGATCAAGACAGCAAACACTACGCTCCTGTCTGCAATCCAACAACCTGGAAACTGGTGCCCTGGTGGAATGGTTCTTTCCAAGCTGAGCCATTACATCCATCCTGGCCTTTGTGACATGGTACCTGTAGTCCAATTCAGCATGTGTGGTTCAAGCAGAGATAGGTAGGCCGCTATCCATCTGGCTGGCACCTTTAAAAATCTCATTTCCCTCTTTACCTATGCAAAAGACAATTATTGCTATTAAATCATGTTTAAGACATGAACTTAGAGAAAGAGAAGAGGAACAAAAGAAACTAATAGCATTTCTTCACTCATTCATTCATTTATTCAATACACACATATTTATGAAGTCAGTCTGTGTGTGCAGTGATGCCAAGTACAGTAGGGCCACAGGCATAAATAAAGCATGACACACACATCTACACAGGTGGCTAAGAGGATCACTATTGTTTTAAACAATAGTACAAAGTAGCATAGGATGGGCACCAGGATTCATCTTTTGGACAATCAACACGAAGAGAATCCAAGGGAATAAAGACAGGTGAGGGAAAGGTGGGGAGTTGCACATCAAAGCAGTTTTTTGAAGGACAAAGAGGCATAGAGGAACCAGGAAGGAACAAGTAGATTTGTCATGGTGCAAAGCAGTGAGACACTTTCAGACCAAGTGGTGCCTTTCACTGAAGGTCTGGGAAAGGTCCTCTTCCAGCTTATGCAGCCTGTGGACTGAAGTCAGTTCCTCAGGACTGGAGGACTGATCTCACATCTTCTTGCTGTATCTCTGGCTTTGCTCCCTGAAGTAGCCTGTGTTTCTCCTGCTTTGTAGGTGGGCTCCTCTTCCAACAGGAGATCAGGTCCTGCTCACATTGAGAATCTCTAGTCACTTATTTTGTCACATGTCTCTAAATCCAGCAAGAGAAAGTTCTCTACTTCTAAGTCTCCTGTAACCAGTTGACACCCATCTGAATAGTGCACAATGCTTTTTTTGTAAGGTCCGAAGCTTGAATTGCATCTGCAAAGTCCCTTTTGCTATGGAAGTTAACATGTTCACAGTTCCCAGGGATCCCTAGGCCACTTTTGGAGGGCACTGAACCCACCAGGATGCTCCAGCAAATCGACATTCCTACTCTCCAGCATGCAGCCTGAGGTGGTGGGACAGAGAGCCAGGGTCACATCTGGTACTGTAGGTGTCTTGAGGGGAAGGTGGGACTCTCATGGCAAGGAGGGGTTGACATCAACACCCTCACTTTTTTCTCTGCTTTTTGCACCTTGTGACAGATTAAAGTCTATGTTTTCATGATGGCTGGGATTAAAAAGTGAGAGCCCTAATTTCCTTCTTCCATTTGAACTTGTGTATCTTATAG